CCATGCGTAGTTACTTTAGTCCATGTGTAGAGCACTTCCTTTGTCTTGAATCTTGGTCCCATCCCGTCTCAGGGAGGTGGACCACAGTCTGCGGCTGCTGCCCCAGGTCAGCGTGGATACTGGGATGGGTCTGGAGAGACTGGTGAGCGTCCTGCAGGGCAAAACCTCCAACTATGACACGGATCTGTTCACACCGCTGCTGCACGCCATCCACCAGGTATGCCGGCACACACAAGAGACACAGGTGTCCTGCACAGGTTGTCATGGTGACACGTGTGCCATGTCCTCAGAGGTCGGGGGTGGAGCCGTATAGGGGCAGGATGGGGGCGGTGGATGTTGGTCAGGTGGATCTGGCCTACAGAGTCGTAGCTGACCACGTCCGGACATTATCGGTGTGCATCGCTGACGGAGTTTACCCGGGCATGTCAGGAGCCGAGTGAGTCACCTGCCAATCAGCTGTCAGTGTGACGCCAGAGGCAGGCATCTTATGTTTACCTGTGTGTGGGTGTCAGGTTGGTGCTAAGGAGGATTTTACGGCGGGCGGTTCGGTTCTGTGTCGAGGTCCTTTGTGCTCCCCAGGGAACGCTCGCCAGCCTAGTTCCCACCGTCGCCGACCTGCTGGTAAAACGCCATCCCATAATGCCTCTGAACTGACATTATTTTGCATTTTACAGTAAATTGAAGGCTGTTTTATTGATTACCTGGTTTCTGTTGCCAGGGTAACGTTTATCCAGAGCTGCACCAGGAGACAGACCGGGTGAGTTTGTATTATGACCTCTGACCTCATCGCTCCTGACTTTCAGAGTCAGATCATGAAAGTTGGGTCACGTGATATAGCAGGAAATTGTCATCAGATGGTGTTTGTCTTCCAGATTGTGGACATCATCAACGAGAACGAGGCTCACTTCCTGTCGTCTCTGCAGCAGGGCAGCAGGCTGATCGAGCGCACGCTTAGCAGGAAGGACTACAAACATGGAGTCTTCCCCGGTCAGTCCAGGTCCAGACTCTGACCACGTGAACACACCTGAGTTAATCAGGATGTTAATGAAGCCTTTAATTAACAGTCTGAGGTTGACGATGGCCTGAGCCGAGCCCACCTGTTGGGCTCAGGTGTTCATACCTGGTTAATTATTTCCTTTCTTCCGGCAGCCTCAGTGGCTTGGTCTCTCCACCGGGACCTGGGCTTCCCTCTGGACCTGGTGGACCTGATCCTGGAGGAAAGGGGGGTCCATGTAGACCGCCAGGAGCTGGACCGCCTGATTGCCGAGAACCAGAAGGTGGGGCTTAATTCACTCGTCTTAATCTGGAAACAGTGAGGGCTTTTACTGTGAAGGACAGAGAAGACTGCTTTTATTCTGAAAAGACAAAGGTTTTCATTGCCTACTGGAATGAGATCCACACACCTGTCTGTGTGTCTCAGGTGGCTTTAGAGCTGCAGGCAGGTGACCGTGCCCAGGTGACGCTGGACGTCCTCAGTCTGACGGAGCTGCAGCGTCTTGGCGTTCCTCACACCGACGACAGTCTCAAATATGACTACCGCCTGGCCGAGGGTCGATACGGTATGTTCCACCTGCACAGGTAACACACCTGAGCCTCGGTGGTCAGCTAATGATGTCCACATCCTTCCTCCCAGTGTTCCCACCATGCCGTGCGACAGTTCTCGCACTCTACGACGGGCAGGCTTTGGTGTCGGAGGTCTCCGAGGGTCAGCGCTGCAGCGTCATACTGGACCGTACCTGCTTCTACGCCGAGCAGGGGGGCCAGTCACATGACCAGGGCTACTTCACCCTGTACGAGCTGCAGGTCAGCAGGCGCCTCCCTCTGTGCATCGTGAGAAACATTTTTGTGTCCCTATGACTCCACCTCTTTCCTGTCTCTCAGGACGTGCTCTTTCCTGTGGAGGCGGTGGTCCGGGCGGGGGGCTACGTGGTCCATCAGGTCACCGTGGCCGACAACCTGAAGACCGGCGACCAGCTCCAGCTGCACCTGAATCAGGTAAACAGCTGGGTTCAGTTGACATTTAAAGGGGCAGTTCACTAAGGGCCAGAGTAACGGTGTGTGCACAGCCCAGCGCTCCCACACACGGACCGAACACGAGCAGCATGAAGTCGGAGCTGTGGCATCAAAGTGCTCGATTGCAGCTTCGATTGCTCTCAGGCCGCTGTCGCTCTGAAGCTCAGTTAATTCGGTCTGAAGGTGAAACAACAATGCAAAAACCAGCAGCACGAAAAGTTCGGCAGCAAAAAACCTCGACTACTCAACGCTACGGTCATCTGAACGGAGAATCTCGGGCTCGCTTCGTTAAATTTGTTGAGCCGCCACCTGTTGGCTTTAAAGCATCTGTGACCTCTGTGTCAGCGTCCACAGTTTGATATCAGTCACATCACTGCGGCGACTCTTGGTGGATCGATCTCTCTGTACGTCTTTTACTTTAGGAGGAAGAGAAACTTATTTGAGCACATTAAACACGCACAGTTATTCACATGTGGACCCGATGCTTTGGACAAACGGTGATGGCTCCAAAGTCGGGCTGGGATCATCTCTCATCTCATCACATCTAACCTTCAGTTTAATCAGACCACAATTCTGTGACCACGATGAACAAAAGCGGTGAGAATCCTCGAATTCCTCCATCAACCTCAAATCCTGGGCGAGTGAAACAGATTGATTCCCTGCGACGCTGACTCGAGGCACCGCCTCCTCCAGAATTGCCTTGGGTCTGGTGGCGACTCTGTCACCTCCACCTGTGCTGATCTCACTCTTTACCGCCGGCGCTGTGTCGTGTAGCCGTGTTCAGTTTCTTTGCTGCTGCCTTTCTTCTCACCTTGTAAGAGTGTTTCTTGTTTCCTCTGCTGACTTCCTGTTTCCTGTTGGGGTTCCAGGTGCACAGGCTGTCCTGCATGGTTAAGCACACGGCCACGCACATCCTGAACTTCGCCCTGAGGAAGGTTCTGGGTGCTTCGGTGCAGCAGCGAGGCTCGCACGTGTCGGCCGATCGCCTTCGCTTCGATTTCAGCGTAAAGGTCAGGCCGCCATCCGTGAGCCCGACAATGGCGGCGTGGTGCAGGCCGCGCAGGTTCTGATGTGTCTGTGTGTTGTCCTCAGGGCTCTCTGAGCGTGTCACAGCTGCAGCAAGTGGAAAGGTGCGTTAATGACATCATCTCAGCCAATCAGATCGTTCACAGTCAGGAGCTTCCCCTCCAGAGAGCTCGCGGCATCAGTGGCCTGAGGACTGTAGACGAGGTGAGCTCAGACTTCGCATTTTGGGTCACCTGCTGTCTCACCTGCTGTCTCACCTGCTGTCTCACCTACCACCGTCACCTGTTTCTGCAGGTGTATCCTGATCCTGTTCAGGTCGTGTCAGTGGAGCTGCCGGTGACCGAGCTGCTGGACAAACAGTCGGACAGACAGACGTCTGTGGAGCTCTGCTGTGGAACGTGAGTCTGTGCTAACCTGGACACAGACACACACACACAGACAGCTGAACGGGCTTGTATGTGTGTGTGTGTCTATCTTAGTGAGGACCTTCATTGACATAACCCTGACACTAAAACCACATTTTGAGTCTCAAAAAGGCTTCAAACTTGTGAGGACCGGTGTGTGTG